AATAGTATTTTGTAATAGTGGAACATCTTGTTTACTCTCCTGACTGGTATGGTCCTTTTAGTGAAAGTATGAAGATTCCTGGTGCATAATTATTTCAGTAGAGATACTTTGGATCTGCATGCAGTGATTCTTCTAACACTCAAAAGTTTCAAATGCTGAAAAAATGTAATTTTGAAGTTAAATTTTAAAAAACTATACTTATTAACAAAACACAGATAGTATACTCTGAAGAGATTCTCTGCCTGTGTTGACAGAGTTAGGGTTGGCATACACTTTATGTTGAGACTTCTATTGATAATACATTGTTAGTTACAAGCTTGTCCCTCCCTAGTTCCAGTAAATGCAACTATATTGTTTAAACTTAAGAGTTTTTATTATATTGATGCAACGAGAAAAAGTTGGTTTGCATTATAAGTGAATATATATTCTTCCTGGAACTAAAAACTTTTAAATACAGAGTAACAGGCAAAAGTTATGGTCTCTTGTCTCTCTCCCAGGGTAAGTTTGCAGTTGAATGATAGTTGAAAACTTGATGGGTGCTTGTGTTATTAACCTGTCACTGCCTTTGACTGTTGTCTGTTTTGTCAGAACACATTAGACTTGCATTAGTTACCATGACAGTGTTTATAATATGTGGAAAGCAGTACTGCTGCTACAGTCAATATTGGGCAGAGAAGTGGCAATTAAAGCGATTTGACAAAAGTCAGAATAGGAAACTTGTAAAGCAGAACGTTTTAGTAAAGTTTGTCTGCCCTAATCATCAGACTTTCTGCTTGCACAGAAAACTTATGAGATACAACAGAACAAGCCTTCTTTAACTGTTAATAAGCTTATCATAAGATTGTATTTTACATAGATCAACACATGCATGCAAGGAGAAAGAGACCATTCTCCCAGTTTGAAAGCTTAGGTTATGGAATCAGAAATAATTCCTTCCAATAAATAAATACCAGTATTGCTAGAAATGAAGATCGGGCTGTTTCCTGGCTGTGTCACTCTTTCACTGTCTAGTTAATAAACCATTGTTGAAGGTGAAACCTGTAGTGTTGGTACTGTATAGATTTTTTTTTACTGTCCTGAACAGACAGATGCTAGCTCAGGGTCTGCTGATTTCAGGCACCTGTTCTCATTGGTATCTACTTTTAATTTTCTAAATATTTCCTGATTCTTTTCAGGCTGTTTTACTTAGGTGTGCTTTTAGTGCTAGCTGCCATTAATATGGAAATGCAACCCTTAAAAAATGCTTGTTCTGAGTTTTGTGCGTTGACCTGTAGCTTGCTTGCCTGAGACATTAGCTGTACTAAAGATTTGTTGTTTCGTTCTAGGGCCCTGTGTTAAGGCTTTACAGTTTGTTACTGCTGCTGAAAGCAGATGTCCTGCTTTCTGTCCTCCTCACTTCAGTGTCCCTGTTCATATGCTTGGCACACAGTGTACAGGCTTGCAGAAGTACTGTCCGATGGATTAGCTTTTGCCTTCAGCAGAGTCACTCTTCTGATACGCTTCAATGCATGATTGCGCAAATGCTTGTGCTAGCACAAGAAAGAACACTTGAGTGAAAATCTGAGAATAGAACAGGATAGAGGCAGGATAGAACCGCTGCTGTGGTGTAGTGCTGGCTGGCATAAACTATCCTAAACTATCCTAACTTTGTATGTGGATACCTGCTCTAGGGCAGGAACTGCTATTTTTCATTGAAACAAAAGCCTAGCTGTATTTCAAAGCAGTGTAAGCAAAACACAGAAGGGCATAACTGTTGATACTGGGTATAAAACTATGTTAGCTGCTGCTTTCCAATTTTTTGCTTGGGTTACTGTATATCAGCAGTTCTCTGCTGTGTCAGATTGTGTGATAGTGCTGCAGCTGGGGCACGGCAGATCAGGTGTGTGACCAAACATTTCTGTCCTCTAGCTTTAGAGTCACTTTAAATAGGAACTGTAGGAAAAAATGTTTATTGAACAATAAATTTTCTGCATGGCTTAAGTTAAGATTTTCTTGGGACATGTTATCTTAAATTTTGTTTCAGGTACATCTGTGCAGCTTAATTGCTTGTAAACATAACTGGTCAAATAACCCTTGAAGTATTATGTGTTTATGCAGTCAAGCAGCTAGTTTGCCTGCAGTGCTGTAGGAAAACAAATTACAGATCATTAATATCCTGCTTATTTAATGCCACAATTGTTGCATAAGGGATAGTGCAATGACAACTTTGTTATGGCCAAAACTGATTGTGAAAAGTTTAAAGTTGTTTCTCAAACACTTTTGTTTGGATGTCTTTGTGTTGCCAAAGTGTAATCATGCATAATTAAGGCCTTTAAGAAATATCCTATGAGATCAGGGTGGTGGTGCATATAGCCCAATACTCTGCCTCTCATGGTGGCAAAAGAACGTGCTGTTTAGGGAGATTGTTAGCCTGGCTATTTTCTGCAGGCCATACCCCTCATTTCCCCCCAGCGTTCCTAACTGTTGTCTTAGGAATATCAGAGGGAACATCTCTGCCCAGTTTCTTTTGAATCTCCTATTCTCCCTTCATGTCTCCTGGCAGGCTTCACTATCTTCTGTGTAAAGAAGTGTCTTTTTTTTTCTTGCATCTTTTTAAAACTGACTTCCCTTGGTGGGTGGCTCTTGGTTTTGGCTGGTGTAGAGCAGGAAATGGAATGTAACGATGTATGTGTAGTTGTGTGTTCTTGGTCTGTGCCTCACCACGTATTGCTAAAGACAGTAATCATGGTCTTGCTTTGTTCTCCTTTGATAAATTCAAAGAAGTGCCAAGCTCTTTTATTCTCTTCTTGTAAGGCAAGCACTTTGTTTCAGTGATCATCCTAGTAACCAGTTGTCTTTCCCATTGACAGTTACTTTTATGATCATGCCCAGAGCTAAACATAATGTTCTAGCTCAGCTCTTACCAGAGCTTTAGTTGTGATCTGGTTCTGACTTGTTCAGATTCTGATCTTTATACCTAGGAGGAGTAATTGCTACAAAGAAGGTGCTTGTGGGTGAACTTCATGGCTTCCCTGAAAACTTCTCTGGAGAAGCAGCTTTTACCTTCTGGACTTAGTGTAGGAGGTGAAAAGTAGGGTGGAGAAATAGGACCCTCTCTTCTGAGTTTCCTAGCGGACTGTAAGTTTGACCTCTTAGTCTTACGAAGTATTTCAGTTCTGAATCTTGGTCAGATATAAAACTTCAGTGGAAAGCTCAAAACAGTAAAATAATGCTGTGAATATTTTAAATCTTAAATATTTGAGTCACTTCAGACCCTTGTGAAAGAGCCCACATGGATCCTCTGTGCGCAAAGGAGCAAGTGTGGGGTTTGGTTTTTTGTTTGTTTTTGTTTTTTTTTCTTAATCTATTCACAGAAAAGAAAGTATTTTACTCTCTTTTATATAAACACTAAGAAGTCGTGCTCCTCCAAATTTTGTGTTTGTGTGTACGTGCAAAGTAAATTGTTTTCAAATGGATGGAACTTTATTATTAATCTTACATGTTGAAATATGTGGCTTCATTTGTCCGTGTTATTCATACATGAATCTTAGTATTTCCTAAAGCAAGCTTTGTACTTAAGGTAATTGCATAAAAATTAAGTCTTGTTTTGTGTGGCTTCTATAAAGCATGTTAACTTACTTGATTGCCAGTACTTAGTAGCTATAAAAAATATTTATCTTCAGAAACTGAATTAAATGTTAGATAATACACTGTAGTAAATCAACATATATTTGTGTGTTTATAGCCTTCATGCTTCTTGTGCCAAAGAACTTCATATCAGTTGTGAATTCAGAGATCTGTTGTTAGGTAGACGGTCAAGAAGTAAAATCTACAAGTAGCTAGTTAGGAGTAGTAACTTGAGCATTTCCTTTGCTTATAGCCACCCTAGCTTGTGATGTTATGCAAGTTTAATTTTATCTGGCCAGGCAGGGTGCGGGTCAAAATAGGAATCAACACAAACTTTCTGTATCTGCCGTAATCTTTTTCAGTATGCATAGCAGCTAGTTTTGCTCGAGTACTGTAACTTTTCTTAGGCTTTTCCATGGTTACCTCTTCATATCCAAGAGAACAGCAAGTTCGTTCTTTGCTTGGAAAGACTAGGATGGCTCAGCTAATGGTGGCATGAGAAAAGATGAGATGTGCTGCACAAATGTGAATGGGGTAGCTCTTAACATCTTGTGGTCTAGTTGCTTTCTGCAGTGTATTCAGTGTAATTGAACTTAAATAATAACTCAGGGCTTTGTTTTTCTTTCTTTATCACCTTAAATGACTTGATGAAATTTTTTCTTTGCTTTCTGTCTTTTAATGACACTTCAGAATATCCCGATTGATTTTGATTATATTCTTATACTTTACTTTTTAAACCCAAATACAGTCTCCTCTACCTAGAAGAATATTTTGTAAAGGATTTTTAAACAGTTAAAGCCAACTAAAGGGCTTACTCTGCGTACTCTGGGAATAATAGTGGATTTGCTTAGGTCTGACTTCTGCAAAGCACTCAAGCTTATGCATCAGTGCTCTGCTGAACAGAAGCCACAGTGGACCTGCAAGTTGGCTTTGGTAAGTGCCGTAGTTCAATATCATTGCTGAGAAGATAGTGGTTACAGATATAGGGTATTTGTACTTGATTGAGGAAAATCTTGGATTATAGTGTGTCAGATACTCAGTTTCATCTTGTTAATAGTCTGTGAGATACTAACCATTTCTTAGTGGGTGCTTAATCATTTGTGGTTCAAACACGTGTTAAAGATATATCAGAACACTCAGTGTCAACACTTTTGGATGCTAACTCACCAAGGTTTATTCACAGAACAGCCTAAAGCTGCAACTTGTGGATGGTTTGAAACTTTTGGAATAACCTATGTGAGTTACAATACAGTCTTTGATTCACGTATTTTTGTTTTGAATTGGGGTGGGGATATAGAAGGGGGGATAAAATGAAAACAACCTTTATTAGTCTACCTGGGGTAATTTGTTTTAGTGGTGTCAGATGACAAATTTTGGGTTTTCTTTCATTCTAGGTTCAAAGGATCTTGTGGTAAAAGCACAGGTTTTAGCTGGTGGTAGAGGAAAAGGAACATTTGAAGGTGGCCTCAAAGGAGGAGTGAAAATAGTTTTTTCGTAAGTTGTTTCTAAATTATCCGACCAAGTGGAAAAACTTCAAAGTTTCACATTACGAATTGAACCTATTGCTTAGTTTAAAATCAATGTTTTAATTATTAACCTGAAAATAACAAAAAATAGATAAGATTTTTTTAATGCTACTTCTGTTTTTCCAGCAGTTTCTTTGTCACATTCTGAGCTTCTTTTATTCTAGTCCAGAAGAAGCAAAAGATATCTCCTCCAAAATGATTGGAAAGAAGTTGTTTACCAAGCAGACAGGAGAAAAGGGCAGGATATGCAATCAAGTATTTATCTGTGAGCGCAGATATCCCAGGAGAGAATACTATTTTGCAATAACAATGGAAAGGTCTTTTCAAGTGAGTAATACTAGAAATAGAAGTAAATTAATTAACTTGTTATAGCTGAATTTAAAAAAACCCAAACAAACCCAAACTGTTTACTGTACTGGTCACTTGCTTTTGAAAATCAGAAATATACATGAGCTAAATTTTGTTTCCTAGTATCTCTGACTGTATGATTGCCATAGTCTTTAAATGCTTTAAAGGTGTAATACTACAATTTAATTAAGAAATAATAAATGAATACTGGTAGCCCCAACTGAAGTTCAGAGTCATATGGATGAAGGGGAGATGGGTGGAATGAGGGGGTTATTTTCATTTTGGTTTTAGTTTGCACTTAGCTGCCAGATGTTGATACTAGAGTTTAGTTTAAAAATGCAGCTATGTGTGCACATGTACACCCTATTTAAGAATATCAGTAAAAAGATATTGCACTTATCTGCCAGATGTTGATACTAGTTTAGTTTAAAAATGCAGCTATGTGTGCACATGTACACCCTATTTAAGAATATCAGTAAAAAGATAAGTAAAAGTCTTTTGGAAGAGCCAATAGTCCTGGATAAAAAGGATGTTTGATTTCTCCGAGGTATGGAGGTTCCTAGAGGTTCACAGGTGTGTCCCTCAGTTTTGAGAGTGCCGGTAGCTTTCTTAGACCAATACTCTTCTGGAACTGGTAAGAAGATTTGGGCGTAGAGGTCTGTTTTCAGAGCTTTTGGGAAGTTGGAAGCCATAGTCTCCACTGCTTGTATATTCTGTATGCGTGGGTACTTAGTTTTTTAGGCTACAATTCAAACCCAGTTACTGAAATGTGTCAGTGTGTTTTCTGACAGACTAGTGTTCTGTTATGAAGCGTAGAGCATGAATAGCTAAGCAACTTCAACAAAGCCAGGGTAAAGCGGGTCTTGGAACTTTATTTTCTGAAACTCAAAAAAACCTGAGTTTGGTCTATCCAGATGCTTAGGAGTTTGCAGAGGCAGTGTTCTTGGTAATTACAGGAGTATCTCTGGCATGAGTAATTTTCTGTGGAGGAATGAGGAAGCTAGTCGTCTTTATTTTTTTGTTGCAAAATTAGGAGTTAAATATATTTGTTCCTTCCTCTTCCTCTGTTGTGTTCTTTCTGATAGGAGAATATAATTTGTTGGATTGTAGTACAATTGTGTGACTTGGGCACTTATATTCTGTTGGGCTCTGTAATAGAGCAGAGAGGATCTAAATGTTAGAGTATGCACCCTGGATTTACCACAAGGTGGCATTAAAATACTATAAATGGCTAGATTTTATGATCTTAAAATTGTGTAAGCAATAAGCAAGCATCCTTATGGAAATAAAATTTACTGTAACTGATTTAAGCAAATTAGATAACGGGAAACATATTTTCCTGACTTGTTCTTGTTCTCATATAAAAAAATAAATCTGATTTGTGTATATTGAGCATAACTGTGCAGATTATTGTCTCTTGATAGGGATGTACTTTGTTTTTACTGCTAGCTTTATAAGTCCTGTTTTCAGATATGCTTGTAATTGCTGTAACTTGTCTAGGATGCTTATGATGAGGAAATGCCTTTCAAAAGAAGGAAGTGTGAAGGTTGAATAGCACACGGTGTGTACGCCTGATGTTGTTGCAAACCTCTTCCTTTAAGCAAGGGAAGAAGTCTGTAAAATACTCAGTTAAAAGTGGAACTTGATGTCTTGGGTGTTATTCGCCAATAGGGGCAAGGCTTCTTATGTTTTAAGCAAAACTGTTCACTTTCGTCAATTCTGTGGAACAATGAGTTATGTTTGTCATGTGTTTGTAGCTTCCTGACTGTTCAGGAGATGAATAGCCAGAAATGTTCAATGTGTTGAACTTTGCTATTAGATGTAGGATAATTCACCATCTTTATGTTTCCATTTGGAAGGATCGTGATGGAAAGGGAGTGGTGTGGTTATTAAGCATGTTCTCTGAACCAGTGTCACACTTTCTGTAATTGTCAACAGTTATAAGGCTGTTCAATGTTTAAGACCTGTGCCTATGTGTAATGCTACCTTAGTACACCAGCTGTCATAATCCCTGCAGAGGTGGTGATAAGGGAAGGTAGCTTGAGATGATACAAGTGAGCATGTCTTTACTGTAAACTGGAGGACTGTTCCCATGGGGAGAGATTTTTTTAGATCCCATGGTAGTGAGTACTTGATGTTTTTGTTGGGATCTAGATAGCTTTTTTAAAAAATCTCTGCTGCAAGTGTTACCAATTCTGGTTCTTAATTTCTTTTATTATTGAATAATTGAGTGCTGTTTTGTCAGAACTCGGTGACTTCCTTCCAGTGATGGCTATAGTTATTGAGCTTTGTGATAAACAGGAATAGTTTGTGGTAATTTGTCACTAGGTTCTGCAGACCTAGGTTTGTCCTTGGAGTTGCAACATGGCAAGATGAATAAATGAGTGCCTGGCATTCGATGTGTCTTTGTGTAGGGGTGAGTGGAGAAGGGGGAGATGAGAATTCTCTTCTTTTTCTGGTTACAACCTAGAAGATAAAATGCATATTATTACTAAGTTGAATCATTCTATCAAAATTTAAAACTAATATATCTGTTAATTGCTCTGTTGCTACCGTGTATACAAAGGAAACTTTTCCTTGTTAAGAGATCAGACCCAAAATACACCTTACAATTTGGAAAGTATTATTAAAAGGTTTTATATAGATGTACTGAATAGATAGTAAAATTCTCCTCAGAGCATACAAGTAAAATGACCAAATAAAAAAAATTTCCAACTAACAACAAGGTTTTATTGCTGTGAGGTATATTGTGGGAACAACTAAGTTTCAGTTGTGTGATATAAAATTACTTATGTTTTTTTTTTTTCCTGTTTTGTTCTAGGGTCCTGTGCTGATAGGCAGTTCTCAGGGTGGTGTTAATATTGAAGATGTTGCTGCAGAGAATCCTGATGCGATAATTAAGGAACCCATTGATATAGTAGAAGGCATAAAAAAGGAGCAAGCTGTTAGGGTAATTGTTAATGTGGAAAAGTACACATTAGTGAGGATGGGAGGGTTGCTTCTAAATTTTGTAAAGTGTACATGCATTCAACCTGCTGAGTTTTCTTAAACCCTTTTGACATTTTGAAACAGAATTGAACTAGATGTTTAAGTATTTTCAGGTGATAGTCAATGTGAATCCAACTCTGCATGGCAGTGCTTTATCTAGCTTTTATATAGATTTGTAAAGGCATATGATAATGACGTTTTACTAGCTCTTTTTTAGGATAAGTGCAGCGTTTTGTATTGAAAACAATATTTTCAAACCGAAGAGTTACTTTTTTTTCAAGGAAGACAGGAGAGGTTCTACATCTACAAATTCAATTGGCACTGAAATAATAGCTAAACTGGGACGTTGCTAATTTGTAAATTAATCAAACCCCAAACATCAGTCAACTGATAACCAATCTCTTACTTTCAGCTTGCCCAAAAAATGGGATTTCCTCCTAATCTGGTGGATGAAGCAGCTGAAAATATGATCAAATTATATAATCTCTTTCTGAAATATGATGCTACCATGATAGAAATTAATCCTATGGTGGAAGATGCATCAGGAGTTGGTAATGTTTCTTCTTCATATTCTTCATGTAACAGCTTGACATTTTTGTAAGTCTTAGTTAGTTGCTTCGCTTTCCTAAAACTTCAGCTGTATACAGCAAGAGGATTTAGCATTAACATGATAAGTTGAAAAACAAATTTAGTAAAGCATATAAATTTGAGAATCTGAGTATAGTAGATACCTGCTCTTAATTGCTAAGTAGGATCTTAAGTTTAATTAGCTTCCTTTTAAAAATTTTTTATTTATTTAAAAAGAACATATATTCCA